CACATCAGCTTCTTACATATGTAGTTGCTTTTCACCTTCTTCCCATCAGCTACAGACACATCAAAAGGAGCTATAGCTGTCAATACACAACCTAATTTCTTGGCAGTATTAAGGTCCAAAAAATTGTGAGTGCTGCCAGTATCAATTAGGACTTGCACAACCTTGCCTTTGACCGACACAGTCACCCTCATAGTCCTAAAATCATGCAGGCAATTCATAGCATAAACTGACACATAAGGCAAAATGGACCCCTCATCATCAGTTTCCCACCATTGACCAATCATACTCAATAATTCTGCTGAATCCAGCATCACATCTTGCTCTACCTCCGCTCCTTCTAAGTCTTCTTCCACCTCCATAGAAAACAGTTGTCTCCTATTTTTACACACATGACTAAGGCAGTAATTCTCTTTCATATACTGATAGTGCCCTGTTCTTGGCTGATAGGCCCTTACTAAAGAAAGCAATAGGTTTATTGTTTTGGGCCAGAACAACTCCAATCCCCTCACCAGAAGCATCAGTCTCAACTATGAATGTTTTTGAAAAATCTGGGAGAGCTAGAATAGGTGCTGAAGTGATAGCTCTCTTTAATTCTTCAAAAGCAGTAGTGGCTGCAACATTCCATTGAAAGTTACCCTTTTTGAGCAAGTCAGTTAAAGGCCTTGCAATAACACCATACCCCTTGATAAACCTCATGTAATAACCAGTCAATCCCAAGAATCCCCTTAGACCTTTGATGGAAGAAGGTAGGGGCCAATCCAGCACTCCCTTTACCTTTTGATTGTCCATAGATACACCATGCTCAGAGATAATGTGGCCTAAGTAGTCAATTTGAGTGACTCCAAAAGCACATTTACTCTGTTTGATGAACAAGGTATGGAATCTCAGCACCTTGAAAGCTCCGTCCAGATGTACTAAGTGGTCTGTCCAACTTTGACTGTATATGAGGATATCATCAAAGAAAACTAGGATAAACTTTCTGAGGAATTTGTGAAAAGTCTGATTCATCAAGCTTTGAAAGGTAGAAGGGGCATTAGTTAAACCAAAAGGCATAACTAGGAATTCATAGTGGCCATGGTGAGTCCTAAAGGCAGTCGTAGGTATGTCTGGTTCAAACATCCTAATCTCGTGGTACCCAGCCCTTAGATCTAACTTAGAGAAGTACTTAGCACCATGTAATTCATCCAGCAGCTCTTCAATTACAGGTATTGGGAATTTGTCCTTGATTGTGCAGATGTTTAACTCCCTATAATCCACACATAAACGCCAAGATCCATCATTTTTCTTAACCATCACAATAGGGGATGAATAAGGACTAGTAATGTTCCTTATGACCCCAGAATCTAACATCTCATTCACCATCTTTTCAATTTCATTTTTTTGCACATTAGGATATCTATAAGGTCTGATATTAATAGGAGAAGTACCTTCTTTTAGGATGATCTTATGGTCATGCAGTCTAGAAGGAGGAAGTTGTTTTGGTTCCTCAAAGAGATCACTGTACTGCTGCAATATAGCTTGTAATTCCCCATTCCTACTAGGCTCCTTGGGTGAGCTTTCCATTGCTAACAGGCTAATTTCCACATCTTGCTGCTGGTGTTCCCTGAACAAACCTACAGATATCATGCATAACTCTGCAGGTTTGGCCAACAACTTGTCCATCCTGCCTTGCTGAATCAACTTGGTAGCTGGGGGTTGTATTCCCCTTAATGACACCTTGTGCCCCATAATGCTGAACTCCATTCTAAGTTTTTTGAAGTTCCACATGATATCCCCCAATGTAATTAACCACTGAATACCCAAAACCATGTTGCACCCTCCAATTGGTAATACCAGCATATCTGAATCAAAGGATACCCCCTGCATCTTCCACATCAGTTTCTTACATATGTAGTTGCTTTTCACCTTCTTCCCACCAGCTACAGACACATCAAAAGGAGCTATAGCTGTCAATACACAACCCAATTTCTTGGCAGTATTAAGGTCCAAAAAATTGTGAGTGCTGCCAGTATCAATTAGGACTTGCACAACCTTGCCTTTGACCGACACAGTCACCCTCATAGTCCTAAAATCATGCAGGCAATTCATAGCATAAACTGACACATAAGGCAAAATGGACCCCTCATCATCAGTTTCCCACCATTGACCAATCATACTCAATAATTCTGCTGAATCCAGCATCACATCTTGCTTTACCTCCACTCCTTCTAAGTCTTCTTCCACCTCCATAGAAAACAGTTGTCTCCTATTTTTACACACATGATCAAAACCATATTTCTCATCACATTATAACAAAGGACTTTACTTCTTCTTTCCTCCATTTCAGCAGGGGTTAGTCTTTTGGCATTTTTATAGGTAGGGTTAGGAGGTAAGGTTTGGAAGTTGGCAGGTTTATTTGATGGTTGACTAAATCTGGGAGTTATCTGAATATTGGATTGAGAAGGTTGAGGATTAACAGACGAAAATCTGGGTGTATTCTTGGTTGAAAATGAAGGATTAGAGGGAATCATGAAGACTTGTTTCTGGACTATCAATGTCTGCTCCTGAATCCTAGCTAAACTAATGGCTTTAGCTAGAGATCTAGGTGCTAACATCTTAACAGGTAGACCAATTTCTGGTTTCAAACCCCTAATGAAACAGCTAACAACATATTCTTCTGATAATTCCACCCTAGTTAACAGTTCATCAAACAAATCAACATAGTCTTGGACTGAACTTACTTGTCTTAGGTCTTTAAGGTCTCCCATGGGATCATCAAATAGCTCAGAACCAAATCGAGCATACAAGCAAGCTACATACTCACCCCACCTTGGCCAATCCCTAGTCACCCTGTGCTTCATATAGGATTGATGCCATTGTAGAGCCCTTCCTTCCAGCTCGCACGAAACTGCTCTCACTTTAGAGTCTTCGAGTATCTCTTCATATGCGAAAATCTCTTCGCATTTTTATAACCAATCTTTCAACCCTACGCCATCAAAAACAGGAAATTCTGTATGATAATCGCGTGGTTGATGGCCCCTAGGGCGAGGGCTTACCACCTCTGGCCTTTCATTCTCCACAGAAAATTCATGATTTTGGACTCCAGTTGTAGTCAAATTTCCCACCAGCATCTTCCTAATTTCATCCATAACCTGGGCCACCCTATTGTCGACAGATTTCTGCAATTCCGCCACAGACGATGTAACAGACTCTATCGATCCCTTGAGACTATCGACTTCTTTTCTCAATTCGTGCATTCGAGTATTGTGATCGCCCATTTTCACAGCTCCAAGGAACGAATGCTCTGATACCAATGATAGGAACTCAACTGAATTCCAGCTAAGAAACGAAAATGAAGCTCACCTAAAGAGCAAATATGGAGAATTGCCCTTGAACAGTGTGCTCGATTAGAACTCAACAATGGAGTTCTGAGTAATTGAAGAGAGAGAGAGAGAGAGAAGAAGAAGATAGAATTTCTTATTCAAACATTACATGAGAGAGTACAGAATTGGGAAAAATCAATCTATATAGGAGAGGCGGGAAAGTTAGTTGTAACTAACTTTAGGAACTCCCCTTCACGTGCAACTCACGTGAGTTTCTAACAACTTTTAACAAACCCCTAACTGATTTAGCTAATAGGGTATTTAGCTAATAGGAACGTATCAGGCTCCAACTTTTGCCTGCCTGCTAAATGTAGCAATTCAGAGGCATATTCTTATTTCAACAGTTGAAATAAGAACATCAAAGTGAAAATATGCTTCTTGAAGAAAGTGACTTTTTAAAAGTGCACATCGAATTAGCAACTTGATAAGCAATTGGGTTCAGCATTAAATACTCCCATAGCTAATGTGATTGAATCAGAAGGGAGTTGTTTGTAGTTAGTGCCCCAAATAGGACTTTTTGAGTTCTTATTTTTTGCCTTAGCTTCTAAGATACCAAGTTGGATATAGGTATTGATATTATTGGCTGTGTTAATGGTGTAAGACAAATACTATCACTGTCATAACCGTTTGTAATGGCTGTTTGAATTATACGAGTATAGGCCTTAATTTCCATGTTTACAAAAGAGTGCAGCAAAGTTGGCTTTGTTTTCTTATTTTCTTGGCCCAAGACTTTTAGCCAGACGTGCATTTAACTCTTTGTTTAGTTCGGTCCTATGTTAGGGTTGTTTGGAAGTCTTTCCTGAACTTATGGAGCTGGAAATTTTAGCACTTGTCCACCACTTGCAGTTAGTCTTCAATGAATGTCTTCTCTTTAAACTTTAGCTTGATCACCCAAGTTGCCTAGTTATATCATTTCTGCACCACTTGTGAGTATTCTTCAACTGAAATGCGTTGAAGAGAGTATGTAGGTAGAACATGGCAGGACCAATTAGGATAGCCTAGCGACGTAAAGCCGATACCAGCAAGAGAAATGACAGGGAAAAAGTCGAAAGTAAACTCAAGAACATAATCAAGGAGGTTGAAGGCTTATTTCAAACTTGCCTTAATCAGTGCATGATAGTTGTTTTTAGTAATGGAGAACATTGGATGTGATCCATATTAACACGGCCTCTCAGAATAATATACTGTTGCATACCATCTTACTCAATTAATACTTCGTCTAGTGACAGATTCAAAATATATATATGTTATGGATTCTGAGCTGGGAAAATGAGTTTTGGAATGTATAACAAACTTTTTCACATACACATAGGGAGAATGAGTTTTGGGCTTGTGCGAACAACGACCCTACATTTGGATCTGCCACTAATGGTGTATATGCTTTCTCTCACAAACCATGTGGACTAGGAGTGGAGTGCGTCCTCTACAACAATATCTGAATTAATGAAGTTACATCCGATCGGGTTAAACATTCAATTAATTATTACTCCATTCGGAAACAATAAATGATTCATTTTTATCATACTTCATGTAGTAGGAGGTTCACTTAAAGAGCACCTAAATCTATGGTTTTATGTTAGTTCCAACATGTAAGCATGTGGATGAGTTCCTTGAGGCAGAATATCAGAGAGAGAGAGAGAGAGAGAGAATAGCTTTTGCTATTAAGTTATTTGGGTGCAGTTACAGGGTAAATATGATGACAGAAATGATTAGAATGAAAGAAGAGTACAATAGCAGAAATATCATCGACAGCAATCCCTCTCCTCTTACGTTTCCAAGCCCGGACAGCGCATTGAACCAGACACTTTGCCGCCTTTGCTCTATCTGGAGTAGCGGATACAATTTCTACAGCCTCTTGGTTGGAGACTACATCCCATACCTGCAAAAATTTAGTTTTCATCAAAGAATATATACATACTTAAAACAAGATAATTTTCGTTTATTGTGGCCAAGCCCTTATGTTAAACTGATGTTCCTTTTTTCTTTGACAAAAGCAAAGCCCTAGGGGGGCAATAACTGATGATCTATTGACTTATGCTTACAATTGTTGACCTACCTACTTTTTGTTCTATGTGCCTAATTAAGAAATATGATACTAGTATTAGTGATGTAGACATGTTTGTCCTTGTTAGACTAATTCTACAAATTAGGAACAACCCAGAAGGCACAAAACATACCCCATCAGTTGCCAGCACAACAAATTGATCTTTGCTTGTAATATGCCTTTGAGTCACATCAGGCACTGAAATTAGACCAAAATCTTTCACACAATAGTCCCCGAAGGCTCTAGACATCGCCAGTCCAGGGGATTCTTCATCGGGCAGCCATAATCGGTGCACCCCAGATTCATCATCTAAGCAAAATACTCGACCATTACACTGTATTATCCTCTCAGTTTCCTCTGCAAAGCATACATTAAAATAGCTTATATATGGCTGTTTTCGGTCTAGTAGAGCAGACAGAGGTATATCGAGGACTCACGAGGTAGATTAGGCTTGAAATCAATAGTGAGCTGAACTGGTACCAAGTTGCCATCATCACAAGTGGTAGCCAATACAGCACGCGAGTCACCTACATTTGCTATAAAAATTACCTCGCCCTGCAACACAACGAACACTAATCTAATTAGAATTTAGCTTATATATATCGGCAATATAAATAATTAAGCAGATCTTCTTGATCACAGAAGTATGGAGTATATTTTGCTATAGAGACATAAAAAGTTATCAACTTTATCTTCATGCCCATCATTCAAAAGCTAAAAAAAGATAAAGTAAAAACAAAAAAGGATGCTGGCTTTGCTATTTTCAGGGTGAACATGCCAAACAGTTATAGAGAAAACATCATTTCCGCACTCAAAAACAGAAAGGGGAAAAAAAGAGAAGTGTCACACACTAGTCTTTATTGGCATTGCAAAAGAGCTCCCTGTACACATTGATAATACAATAAATAATTCAGTATATTTCTTACATTGAGTCTCAGTTTTAACTAATTTAGCAAGAGGGACATCCAAAAAACACAGTATGGATTTACAAAACAAGGTTAAAAGCTTACACTTTACAAGGCCAAGTTGGTAAAAAAAGGATAACCACACTAGTGATTCCCAAAAAGGAAGAGGAAAAAGAAAAACACTAGAGCTAATGCAGCAATTACCTGTCTGACTATTGTCAAAGCAGTGGTTCCGCTGTAAAATGTATCGATCTTAGGATGGTGTTCCAGCTCCTGATCTACAGCTGCACATGCCTTTAGGTATGAGTCCTTCCATATGTTAAACCTTTGAAGCTTCTTATCAGAATCTAAATCTAAATCTGGATCAACTGAAGCCTCGGCTAGACTCTCTTGCCAATTGCAAAGCAACGATGATACTATCGATTCTCGAACCTTCTTCGCCACAAAATGACCCCATGGACCATGCCCATCAAATATACCACAGAATATCATATCTTCTTGGCATCCAAATTCCTGCAATTCCCAAAATGGCAAAAACAATCCCTTATAATATCCTGTTGAGACATACTTAAGTAAATAAATGTCTGCTCTCTATAACAAACTGGTCACACACTTCGATATAGGTTCTGAGTTTGATTATTTACTGTCACCCATTACCAAAAAAAGAATTTACCAAAAGCTACTGCTACAATCATAGATATCACAATTATAATTGAGGAAGCATACCTCCCAAACAATGAAGCAATCTTGATTCACTCCTTTTTCACCTCTCCTAGAGAATAATGAAGCAAAATTCTTAGAGCCATTAACATTTACAGTCCCTGAGGACCTTAATATCAAGTCATTTTTCTTGGCTTCTTTAGCCATAGCTTCAACAGCTTCTCTACCATCATATTTCCCATTCCCAGTACAATTCTTTCTTTTCTTTAAGGAAAAAGACCTTGCCAATCCATTAAACATTGAAGAAAAATGCCCCATTTAGAGCTTAATCCTTAGCTACTCAAATATGAAATACCCCTGCAGCAGAAAGCCAAAAAATTCTTAAGCTTTATAGGTACAATAACCCTCAAAAAAGGCATATCATATTTAGTAAAAAAGTGAGTAATATACACATACACCATCACATGAAGCCAAGTAATTGGATATACTTAGCTGAGGTAAAAAGAGATGTGATCTGACTCAGAAAGTTAAGCATCTGAAGGTTTTAAAATACAGAAATATCCAAAAATGATGAATCTGAAGAGGGATTAAAGAACCTTTTAACAGTGCAAGAAAAGCAGAGAATATTCAAACTCCAACTTGGAATTCCATGAGAAGAAAAATGTCAGAAGAATGAATAGACACCCATCAATCCACTAAATCTATAGAATTCCATACATGGAAATTTTTGCATAAAAAAGGACAAAGACAACTGCGTAACACTTTAAAAAGTTTGTCCTTTTTTTACCGTTTTCTCAATTACCAAACAGAATTAGATAAGCAGAGGACTTAAATAACTCCTATAACAGCCAAAACCCAAAAAGCTATGGAAAAGACTACTGGAAATTTCAAAAAGTTATCTCTTTTCTTCATTTTATAGGTAAACAAAGAAAAAGAAACTTTCCCAGAAATGAATAAAACTTGATAAACCAAAGAACACCCGTATGTTATTTGAACTGACAAAAAGGAAAGACCATGTGAACCACCTTGGTTAAAGTTATACTTCCGGTAGAATATGGTCGGAGAAATGAATGTTCAACTAGAACTAGAGACTAAAGAGCCTGAAAAGCTGAAAAAGATTGCCGGAAAATGAGGAAATTCCGACGAGGTGAGCTGAGAAATCGAGAGAAAAGATGAGAATCCATAGAAGATTACGTTGATAGATCCTTTTAAGGGAAAGAGAAGACAAGTTAAGAGGAGTTTGGTTATTGTGTACAGTGACATACACGGAGTGTACGTTAAACATGTGGTGTCCATCTTCCTTCGTTCCTGTACCTCTTTCTTAAATTATGTACATTTACTCAAATGTCTATATTGCCCTGGATTTCGTCAAGATATATTTTTTTTCTCTAATTATTTGGCTTTGACTCACCTGCAAATTGTATTGTTTTGAACTCATAAGTTCTAAACTCGAATATTTAGGTGAACATTTTATTTATTGATTCTTAAAAAAGAAAGGATACAAGTAATGATGTTCAAATCTTATTTTACTATCCTAGTGCGAGGAAGATAAGCACTGTACTTTTTATATATGTTGACATTGGCGGAGCCACATTGAACCAAGGCACCCATTCACCAAAAAATTACACTATATTGCTAGATAAATCTTATTTTATTTTATATATATTTATTATACGTTGACTTACCTTGACTTTTTGATATAGCTAATTACATTTATATTGATGAAAATTCTGGTTTCGTCACTGTATGTTGAGGATATCAAACCATCCTATTTACTTGCAATATTTGAAAGGGATTTTTACATTCCTATACCACATATGAAACCTTATTACCCTCCATGTTTAAGGTTTGATTTAATTACAAACCCGTATACCAAATTACCAATCCTATACCATACTTAATTAAGGGTCTAATTAATGGGCTGTTTTTACTCCTTAATTAAAGGTATCCATATCTAATTAATGGGCAGTTTTTACTTCTTAATTAAAGGTATCCATATATCTTACGTTTCTCTCTCCTTACCCCTCACCTCCTAACCCACGTTTTTACCCATACCCCACATTCTTTTTACCATTTTCCCTCTTCTGTAACCAAACAAAATTCCCTCTTTCTGGAAAATGATTTGTTTGAATTCCGTTTCGACGTCACCTGGTCGAAAGGTTGCAGGCATCACCATCGTGGCCATCAAGATTGCAGGCATCACCATCGTGGCCATCAAGTGTCATAAAACAGGATGGGCGATATGTTAGTGTCGATCCAATTAATGGAAAAAGACGTGATAATAAATCACTTCTAAACTTCTTCTCATATTTCTTGATTGGAATGTTATGAATTGCTATTTTGGCAGCTTTTATTTGTAGTTTTTTGCACAAATTTTGTAGATGAAGAGCCAATTGTAGAAATGTGACATCCACAATTAATCTGCAAATTGTCTGCAAAATTTTACAAAAACTACAAATTAACTACATGTAACCTACATTATAACTACAATCTGGAAACAATATACACACGAAAGTTCTTCAAGTTGGAATTGGCCACAACTACATTTCTTGTTTTCTAGACACACAATGTACCGCTTCACACCATCCAACACAGTATGTATATGATCTGTTGAAGCCCTCACCTACATTTTCAGAACAAACACAAAGAAATTTTTTTTACAATATTAAAAATATAGTATCTACAATATATCTACATTTTATCTACAATTTATCTACAAATTAACTACAAACTATAAGTAAACTACAATTTGCCTATAATTTATCTACAATCTGGAGACACTGTATATTAAAATATTTTTTTCCTGCACCAAATAAAGAAATTGTAGTCAAATTGTAGATATATGTAGTAATTTGTAGATAATATCATAAAACTAAGAAGACCTATTGCTGTTATTTTTTTCTTCTCATTTTTGTTGTTCTTTACAAGCTTTAAGTTATTGTCATTGACTTCATTTTGATTTTAGCCTTGAAGATGTTGAAGGGGTTGATCAGTTGCGGTGGGAGGATCAGTAGAAGATAAGGGTATATGTAGAGGGTGGTGGATTAGGATCCTCAAACACCCCTAATCCTGCTGCAACGGAACTTGGTATTGAAGTCCCTCAAACCTCCCGTGATAGAAGAAACGACGAAGAACAGATTTTTTCAACTTTGAGTTGTTGAAACTCGAAAATTTGAATTGTTTGTTCTTTTTTTTTCGAGAATTTGAATTGTAGTTCTGGAGAAAAATACGCAGATGTGAAATCTCCTTTCCCTTTTTAAAAATTGAATTTAATGTAAAATCAATTAACACCAAGATTCTCTCCTTAATTTTAGGGAATATTCTGCCCTTTTAATGCCCAATAGTCGAATGATACAAAATTTGTAGGCAAAACGTGGACTGGGCGGGTAATTAACAAACAATGCACATTTTTGATAATAATGTTTCATATATGGTATAGTTAGGAAAAAATCCCATATTGAAATCATTATTTGTAAGCTGAAGCTTAGCTATCTTTATTTTAGTATTTGGAATAATGGTAAAAGGTTATTTAAGAAGTATTTTTAGTGAAAATAATGTTTTTACTCATAAAACTTTAAACTTTTTTAAATAGAAGTCATGTGCAAATCCATTAAGATCAAATGTTATGCAAACTCATACAAGTAATTTTCCTCACACACAAAAAAAAACTTATTTTTCCTTCTTTTGATCTTATATGATGATATTTAAATGCAGAAGATATTAAAAACCCTTTAACGAAAGTACTTTTCTTTCATCTAAAAAATTAGAAAAGATTTTGATATGTTTTGCGAAGTATCAACAGTTGATGCCTTTTGCGAAGATTAAGTATATGTTTTATTGAGTTTTAAAATTCTCGTTAACAATAATGGAAATCTCATTTTTAATAACATGATGGAGTCATGCATGTAGGTTGTCAAATACTTTGTAATCAGCAGAGAATTATTGAATATGCATTATTTAATTTGTCATTCAACTAACCATGTGAGGTAAGGGCTGAAATACAATACTTTTAATCCTTGTAAATTGTCAAACTAAAGATTATTCTCTTAAAATGAAAGAACGATCCTAACTAATGTCGAACAAACAATTATAAAAAAATGATTAAAAGATTAAGATGTTCTGTAAATAAAATACGTAGATAAACTTGGAAGGCCTAACAAGATTGAGTCAATTAATTGATTATTTGGCTGTCCACATCGCAGAGTCTTCTATTATTATTTTTATAGTTCCAAAATAACGCAATTATGTTGATATGATTAATTATTAGTTGTTGGTTTAATAACTTCTAATTATTTAAAGCACAAACTTAGAGTTTTGTTTCCAGATGGCATCTGTAGAGATAGCTGAAGGTTAGCTAACAATTTGCTGAATTAGTAAAAGTTACTATAAAAAGGAAATAAAAGGTGTCCAAGTAACAGTAACTGTCTTGGCCTAGAAAATGATACTATAAAATGTAAATTTCATTGCATCCAATCACAGGGACGTGTAATAGGCGAACATATAATTGGTCGAAATAATTAAATAATTATTTTTCTATTGAATATGATAGTCGTGGAGGGAAAAATGAAGAAAAAAAAAGAGCTTCGTGACATTTACAACTAAGTTACCAGTCAACCCTTGGTTTGTATTGCGCTTCTGACATAAGCAATACTGGCGTAGGAATGAAAATCTAATGCAAAAAAAAAAAAAAAGAAATAAAAAAAGGTAGTCATGTTCATTGAATTAATTCGAAGAAAAGATATATAGCTACATTATCTTCATGCTTAAACTTCCATGTTAAGTAAAATAAAAATATGAAGAAAACATTATTAATCCAGTAAAGTTAAGGATATTATACTAGTTTTATAGCACAAGGGGAATTTAGGGTAAGGTTTTGAGTAACAAAACGAAGCGCATCCGACAATTAATCAAAATAGGATAGCAAATGTAACATATCAAACCACAATAAAGGTATGTGCTATAAAAACAAATCTTAAAAAAATCTCTAAAATTATTTTTGTCTAATATATTGTGGTTTTTTTTAAATAACAGTGGTGTCCGGGCCAGCTTGCACGTACCTCGATTAATTCCACGGGATACATGTCACCTCCTACCAGCAACAGTTATTAGGTAACTCTGTCCACCAAAAGCTTGGACAAATAGGAAGAAATAACCAAGTATTTTTTGTCGCTAGGGGTTGAACATGAGACCTCATGGTTCTCCACCCACTTCATTGATCACTAGGCACACTCTTGGGTGTATAATATATATAATTTTTTTTACTTATCAAATTTAGTTTTCTAATCTCGATATGTTGAGTCCCACATCGAGTGGGAATTAACAAATGGGTCTCCTTATAGTGTCTTTGGCTGTTCTCACCTCATAAACTAACTTTTGGGATCGAGTTAGACACTTATGAAATAACCGAAACACCCAATTGGGTAACGTCCATAATAATAATCCTAATAGAAAATTAAATAGGGAAAAACAGTAAAAACAGGTAATACCCCAAGGACTGAAATGCAATTAGTCCAAAGATCTAGACTGAAG